CCCGTTGGCCAGGTATTTCAGTTTCAAAAGAATATTTACCTGTGCGAAGAGAATGTGATAAGTGGATAAGATGGTACTTAAGCTACTGAATTTTCAAAGCTTATTTCGACGACAATCAATTTTACAACAGGGTAGGACCACCCGTCGGACAGGTGTTTGCGAGGGTGGATTGTCAGCCAAAAGAAAAAGGTTCGGTTCGTTATCGACCCATTTTACAACAGAGAACGTTTTCAGGTGTGACAGATGTTTCAGTTTCAAAAGAATATTTACATTGGCGTAGATAATGTGGGAAGTTGGTACTAAAAGGATACTTAAGCTACTGATTTTTCAAAATTTGGTTCAACGTCAAACAATCAATTTTACAATAGGTAAGGACCATCCGCCGGGCAGGTGTTTTCAGGTTTAGACGTTCCAAGAAATTTTAACTGCGCTACTTATACGTCTTATACGACGCTAATAGTTTTGATTTTTGCCTTTCTGTCCTTGGTTCAACCCCCGATAAGGGTGTAAATAAAGATTATTAATACATTTTTTTTATTATTATTTTTTTAACAGCCCTAATACATCAATATATGCTCAGAGTTCAGAAGAAAATCATATATAGATAGTGTTATCATTAACTTTGAAAATCTGCATTTTTTTTTCTTTAAAATGAGAAGTTAAAAGGAGTAGCTAAAAGGAGTTGTTGGGTCACAATGCTATCTTTTTTTTTTAATCAATGTTTTTTTTTTGTTAATAGACCTAAACACACTAATATATATGTTCAGAGTTTCTAACTTAAAAAAATTAATAGCTTCTAAGAAAATGTGCATTTTTCTTTAAATTGTATTAGTAATTATTGCTGATTTAAGAATAAGATATATTTGTCTGCAGCTGTACCGACTGCCAAACTATTTTTCTTCTTTGTTCTATTTTTTTATCTTACACAATAAAATGCAGTGATCTCAGTTCATGTTTGGTAGCTTTGTTAAGTGTTTAGTTTAAATCCTATCTATGGAATAATAGCATAATCTCTTTAACTTTTAGTAGGAATTATCTTAATTAAGTATTAAATTCAGATGTGAATATGATCAATTAAAAAAAACACACACAGATTTTTTTGAAAAAAAAATGATTTTATTTAAGTAAAAAAAAATAAATTACAGTTAAATAAGCTTTTCTAAAACATGTTAACAAAAAAAAATACATAAAAATTTAAACATTGACAAACCACAAATGCGTAAGAATTTATGGACACAGTTATATGCATTTACATATTCTATTTTCGATTAAAACTAATATCTACAGATAGGACTTTACTACTTATACGCTTTCATCTATTTTATCTCGAAGCATCTGTACGGCGATATATAAAAGCGATATGCTTCATCATTTACGTCTTAAGTAAGAGTTGTTAGAGATTCATCTTATTAAAAAAAGGGAAAAAATATGCGTATAATTTGTTAAAAACAAAAATTACTTCACTGTTGTGATTTGAACAGTTTAATGTATTTGTATATTGCTTAATAATAAAAAAAAAATATTTTAGTTGAAAAACTATGTGACAACTCTGTAAAGTCCTAAAAAGGATAGGTAAAAAAAAAGGTTTCTATCGCCTCATGGTACCCGTCCGTTAAGAAGAAATATATGTGGATTGGGCCGATCGGTATACCTACGTCCTAAGTAGGGGTGGTTAAAAATCAGGTAAAGCCGTTAGTTAGACCCTTGGAGATAGTCCTTCGAAGATAGTGTGCTACTAACTGATTCAAAAAGTGTTCCATTACCGAGAAGCAGTAAGATTTTATAGTTTCCAACGATATATTATTATCGGAAAATGTAGAACGAGCGTGTGACAGTGGACATTATTCGATTAAACCTGTGCGTGCGAAAAAAATGTCCATGACAGGCGACTCAACTAATACTGACTGAGTACTTCATAGAAGAAACGTGTTGTAAAATTACAAATCGTGTGTGTGTGCGGTATAGGTGTATTGCGAAAGTGCTTCGAAAACGATGAAACAAAGCGGGTAAAACGTTTTGTCTTCCCATTGATAATAATCGGAAAAAAAAGATATTAAGGATTTTTGTGATGCAGATGTAGATATGTGTAATGTACAAAATTCAGTTATAATGGACTAAGATAACATATACATTTCAGTAGCTTTTTATTTGTCTTATCTTATGTTTTACTTTTTTCTAACCATGTAGATGTATATTTATTTTTACTTATAATGCATTCTAACTACCTGTTGTTAAATAAATATTGTTTTTCTTTTTTTTATATCAGCTTTTTAATTATATTGCATATCTTCACTTGTAAAAAAATAGTGTTCACACGTAAATAGGTATACTTATTTTACTTAAAAAATGTATTCTAACTATCTGTTGTTAAATAAATATTGTTTTTCTGTTCTCTCGTTGCCCTTTTTTTTTTAATCATATTATATGTTAACTGGCTTTTATTCCGCCCTCTAGCAAATAATAATTATTATGGCGTTTTTTATGTATAAATAGCTTTTTCCTAATATATTATTTTTTGCTACTAAATTTGTTCACTTCAGATATAGAGTTATTGGAGATGCTTATGTTTTATACTAGTTTTAAGTTGGATAATTGTCATTTTGTAAATAGGTATATTTATTTTTACTTAAAATGTAATATTGTTTTTGTATTTTTTATTACCTCTTTTTTCTCTACTTATATTGTATATTAACTGGCTCTTATTCTTCTTTAAACCAAACCAAAAAAAAAAACCCTTCTTTTTTCTTAGTTCATAAAATTATTTAACTGTTTTTTCCTAAAGTAAATTTATTATTCATGTAATAGTGTATTTATTGTTTTAGTATTATTTTTTATTCTCATATCTGATAACAATGTAGCCCAATTATTTTAGATTTTTATTTTAATGAAAGAAAAAAATATTTTATTACTTTTTTTAAACTTGTGTACTATCTGACTTTTATAAAGTATGTTTTTTAATATTTTCAGATACTTTTTAATTTTATGGATATCTTCATTTTTTTACTTTTTTTTATTGATTCTAATTAGCAGTTTACGTTGTGTTGTTCACTTGTAAAAAATAGTGTTCACACGTAAATAGGTATACTTATTTTACTTAAAAAAATGTATTCTAACTATCTGTTGTTAAATAAATATTGTTTTTCTGTTCTCTCGTTACCCCCCCCTTTTTTTAATTATATTATATGTTAACTGGCTTTTATTCCGCCCTCTACCAAATAATAATTATTATGGTGTTTTTTATGTATAAATAGCTTTTTTTCCTAATATATTATTTTTTTTGCTACTAAATTTGTTCACTTCAGATATAGAGTTTTTGGAGATGCTTATGTTTTATACTAGTTTTAAGTTGGATAATTGTCATTTTGTAAATAGGTATATTTATTTTTACTTAAAATGTATTCTAACTACCTTTTGTTAAATAAATATTGTTTTTGTATTTTTTATTACCTCTTTTTTTTCTACTTATATTGTATATTAACTGGCTCTTATTCTTCTTTAAACCAAACCAAAAAAAAAACCCTTAAAAAATTATTTAACTGTTTTTTCCTAAAGTAAATTTATTATTCATGTAATAGTGTATTTATAATTTCCTAATGTGTCATACTAAAATAATGCTTACACAGTACTAAAACATGGAATGCACTTCATAATTACATAATCTATTTTTTCAACATATCATTAAGTAAAAAAAATATACCTTTAAAAGAAATATAGAAAAAAATATGTTTCTCTTAAGTTGAATTGAATAATTATAAATAAGAAGTAATGGGGTAGGAGTTCTAATGTGCTAATAGTATGGAAAATCATTTTTTTTTTACTTAGCAATATCTCATAGCTTCATGATTGAAAAATAGCATGACTTTTGTTTATATGGATACTTTGAAGCAGTGAAGAGAGTGTTAATATTTAAGTTTAAGATAATTACAACCTATACAATGCTGCACACACCAAAAATATATACGTTACAATAAGATTCTGTAGAGGCATGTCAGAGTTTAAATAAGACCTCCCCCCCCACCCATATTCTCCTAAGAGCATCGATACGCACGATTCATTCCAAAGACATCTGGTCTTTCAAGATCATACATCAAGGTCCTTGTGAAGGGTACACAAACGCATTTCAAATACATCTGAAAGTCAACCTTAAAGGTCGTTTAAGGTCTCACAACAAGGTTCTTTCTGGAATCACTCAAGGAGGTTTGAAAGCCACATATGTCAAGGTCAAGCGAACTGCGCATGTGGAGGAGCCCAATCGGCTAATATCTCCTACTGATAGTAATAAAACGGCCTAATGCATATAATCATTTTAACAAAGCGAGTGAATATTAATAAATTTGAAAATATACAAAAATACCTATAAATTTAAATTTTAATACCCGAAACAGCGTTATCACACAAACCTCGTACCTGACTGTTTTATAGTTTCAATAACTGCACCAGTAACAACTAAAATACTTAAATATTATGACAAAACCACGATTTTAATATTATTTCAATGCGATCGACATAAGCGGTAACGGGAACCGCGTGAAATACTTTATACCTGGCAGTTCTAATTTCTGCCGTATCGAGCGCTGCGGTCAGAATTTTTAAAATGAACTGAAATGCACCAAGCCTGCATGTAAAACATTTAAAAAAATAATCAAATTTAATATTTGCTTTCTTCTCTTAAATCTGTGGTACTAAGGCAAAACCCGATATGTTAACATTATTTCCGTATTGATATATTGGGTTCTGCCTTAGTACCACAGAAATTTTAACACTGTTGTAGTCAAAAGTACGACCAGTGTTGATTGCATGTTATGCAAAGGTAGGTTTTTTCAATTATAATTAAATTTATTTTTATTCAGTAGGTATTACGAAAGCGTATGGTTTTTCGAAATTTATAGTTGACTTATTTTACCACAAATGGACCAACGACTATTTATTTTTGTAGTTGCTAATGTCAGGTCATTAAGATTCTTATTTTGGTATTGTTCTAGTAATAAATATTCTTGTAGAATTGCTGTATTGGATTCCATAGATTGACGATTGTGGATTGCACTTATGGTATGCAACCTATGAAACTTCATCAGTACCCACATTCTATGCTTATTTGTAACGGGGAATTATACAACTGTAAAAAGGTAAATATGTTACAAGTATAAAATAATGTTATGTTGCTTTAAGTTAATACATAAGGTTAAAATTAGGTCGGCCAAAGTTCAGAATGTTTAGTTTTAAAGAATTTGAGCGAATAAAAATAAAAAAAAACAGTACCGTTAAATTCTACAGTATGCATTATACAACTGTGTCAATTTTAAAACTTCCCACCCTTAATATCTTCCTTGCAGTTAAAAATATGAAAAATCGGAAAGGCACGTCAATTTTATTTGTAAGGAGGACACTTTAATTGTTCAAAATGTTGTCCATTTTCCTGTAAACAATAATAAAGTCTGTTTTCAAACTCCTCCCTAATATTTCTTAACATCACCGGGAATTAATTGGCATTCTGCTGTAATTCGCCTTTTAAGATCATCAATATCAGTAGGTTGTGTTTTATGAACAATGGATTTAGGATACCTAAACTAGTATGGTAACCAACCCAAATAAAGAAATCTATGGGTGTTAAATCCTGTGATTTTGGTGGCCATTCAATTGGTTCACTTCTGCCAATCCATGTACCCGGAAATCTCTCGTTTAACCACTGTCAGACCGGAAGAAAATAGTGAGGTGGAGCACCGACCGTCCTGCTGGAATATTAACAAATCCTACTGTAAACTGGATTACCATCTGCATCAATTTGAGTTTCTTGAAGCATACTTATTAAGATACAGATCACCCCTGTCAAGTTTCCTTCAATAAATAAAGGACCAATAATGACATTTCCGAGAATACCAGCCCAAACATTAACTTTTTGGGGATATTGTGTATGTCCTTGAAAAATATGCGCGGGTTTTCGTCACTTCAGTAATGACAATTTTGTTTGTTAACATTTCCATCTAAGTTCGTAGGTTATTCTTCTTTTTCCATTACTCGCCGAACCAGTTTCGGAGAACTTTGCAACCCTACTGCACCCAAATCCAGCACATATCTGTGACTTACTTCACGATTTTGATTACTTTCATTGAAAACCAAAGTTGAAAACCAATACCGTACTCCGTCCAAACCAAACCAAACCTTCCAACCTCTCCATAAATGAAAATAATTTAGTTAAAAATAGTTCTTTCTTCAACAAGGTAAAAAATGCATCAAAAGTACATAAACAGTTGTGAAGTATGACAAATAAATAAACCAGCAAATCAAAAACAGCTTGTACCACATGAAATAGCAATAAGACTGTGACAATTTTTATATTCTGTTTTTTTTTGGAATGTAAAGCTAAAGTTGACTTGTAATTGTGGATTCTTTTTCACTGCTTAAAAGTTTTTAAAGTTAATAGTAAAAATTCTCAAACTGTATTACTAATTAACAAAGAACTATTTTGACAATTTGGTGTTCCAGATAAATTCTTTGCCGATAATTGTCTGTATAACAGTGAATTTTTTAAATTGTTTAAGAATTTGAAAAAAGTTGGGATTTTGAAGTGGAATTTTCAACTCCACATTATCATCAGTCAAACGGATTTGTGAAAAATATGTTGATATAGTAAAAAATATGCTAAAAAAGATTATAAACCATTTAATTCCCATCTAATTCTACTTGGTCTTGTGACTTCTTTGGCAATTTTCCAATCCATCGCATCCCCTGTACTCATAGAGTTTCTCTGAAGTCAAACTTTTAATTAAATAAATATTGTCAGTAATATCAGTTAATTTATATTACTTAAATATAATATATACTTTTACGACTTTACTACCTTTTATATACTTTGACAACTCGTTAGAGTACCTAGGGATGGGATATTTTAAAAATAGTCAAACACAAAATCTGAAACATGATCTCGATACGGGACTGTTTTGGAACAATGTGTCACTCTGTATTTGATTTTTAGAGGTCCAAAAATATTTTTTGTTATTAGTTTTTAGATGGGCTTTTGAATTTTCATCCTAATGATGTAATAAGTATAGAGTATAGAATTTACATACTTTTAGAAAATTAATTCTAAACTTTGATCACATCTTTAGTTACGTTTATTTATTTTGAAGCTTCAAAAAGAATACGAATTCAATTATGAAACATTCAGTGACGTAGAATGTATTTTTCATTTATATGAAAAATTTGGAATTTCTAAATGTGTGCAAAGCCTGGATGGAGTGTTTGCATTTGCCATTGTTGATGTTACAAAAAGGAAGGTGTTTCTTGGTAGAGATCCTTATGGTGTTAGACCTCTATTTAGAGTCATTGGCGAAAATGGGGTACTCGCAATTTGTTCAGAAGCTAAAGGTGTTTTTTCTAGAAACAATTAGAAGATATTTGAGTAACCGTTATGGTTTTATTTCAGGCTTGACATCCGTTGCAGAAAGTCTAAACGGATTCAAGAAAATGCTGGAACCTTTTCCTCCTGGAACATTTGAGGAATACGATATTTTAGAGAATGGTACAGTGAAATTGGTACAAAGTCAGAGATATTTTTCTCCAGGCGATCGTCCAAGTTTTCAGCCTTTTTTGCCGTACGAAGGTATTATAATTTCGTATTGTATTATACAGGGTGGCGCCTCTCATACGCGTGGAGGCTCCAAGGAGAACTACAGTTTGTATTGAAACGAAACTTTGTGAGTATATGTAGGTTAATTCAGAGCACTTTTTAAAAATATAGAGAGCTATACAGGGTGTCCCCAAAAAGTTACATATCAAAGTTGTGTTTTTTGTAATGAAACACCCTATATATTAATTGATTTTAGGAGGATTCGGGGAGAAAAATAAAGGTGAGTTTTATAAGAGAAGTATATGACTAAAATGTAAGGTTTTCGACATATTTAACATTTTCTAGAAATTAAGAACAATTTTTAAATTACAATAAAATCTATCTAAATTGGAATTTACCCCGTATAGCCTAATATTTAGTTAAATTAACTATTGTACTTTAAATCAAATTAAAACTTGATTCAAAAAGTTATACAGAGTGAGACAAAATTAATATTGAACATTGGTTACCTTTAAAAGCATGTTACTCTTTTATTTTAAACGACCAGTACACCCAGTATATTATTCCGATATTCAATAGATAATTCATGTCTCTTCAAAATGCTATTAAGGTTGCCTACCCCTCAAACAAAGATTTTCCTAGATATTTTCATTTACATGATTTGATCTGAGTAGATCTTTATTATTTGATAAAATCTAGGTGGCTGTGATATGGTCTGACGTTACTTCAACATAGCTGTCTAATTAGTCCTACTTTAACAACTAGTTATCATTTTGTGTCAGTTAAAACAAAGAAATTTTTCAGAAATTTGCCGAAAATGCAAACTTATCCTACATCAGAGAGAATTGATATGATTTTATTAGTTGGTGAATGCAATGTGCATTTACCAATTAATAGAATACTTAAATGCTCCTGATTTTATCTAGTCTGGTTTTTTTATGGGGATATGTTAAAGAGAGTGTTTACAAAACTCGATCAACTATAGTCGGCAACATGAGAGAAATTCTTGTAGCTGCTTTTCGAGGTAAAACTCCACATATGCCTTTTAAAATGAAAAGATCCTTTTGAAGAGACAATCATTGTTTGCAGTTAACAGGAAAGGAAGCATTTTGAGCATTTGATTTCATCTAGCTAATTTTTGTCATTTAATTATAGGTTTATATCTAGTTTTAATTCCCTAATAATTATAATATGTTTTAAACGTGTATCTTTTTATTACCGTTGAGTATTTTACTCTACAATCTTTAATTTTTGTTAAATTAACAAAAATATATCACAAGCCACCCTAGATTTTTTTCAAATAATGAAGATCTACTGTCGCAAAATCATAAAAATTAAAATATCTAAGAAAATCTTTGTCTGAGGGGTAGGCAACCTTGATAATATTTTGAAGATATATAAATTCCCCATTGAACACCAGAAAAATATAATGGGTGTTCCATTTAAAATAAAGAAGTAACTTGCTTTTAAAAGTGACTAATGTTCCATGTTAATTTTGTCTCACCCTGTATAACTTTTCGGGTCAAATTTCAATTTGGTTTAACATACAATGGTTACTGTAAGAAAATATCAGGCTATACAAGATCAACTAAAATTTAGGCAGCTGTTATCGAAATTTAAAATTTATACTCTTTATTTTTACAAAATGTGAAATATGTCGAAATCCTTAGATTTTAGGTATATGCTTCTTCTATAACTCACCTTTATTTTTTTCCTAGAATCCGAAAATTAATTAATATATAGGGTGTTCCATTAGAAAAAACAAGTTTGGTGTGTAACTTTTTTTGGGGACACCCTGTATAATTCTATATATTTTTATAAAATGCTTTCAGTTAACCTACATATGCTGCCAAAATTTCTTTCGATATAAACTACCTTTCACCTTGGATCTTCCGCGGCGTATGAGAGGCGCCACCCTGTATAATATATTGACCAAGTATATTTGCTAGAATTGGATGAAAATAAACACGAAGAGAATATTGCTAAACTTTTAATTATGGCAGTGAAAAAACGGCTCATGGCAGATCGGAGAATTGGTTGTTTATTGTCAGGAGGATTAGATTCATCCTTGGTTGCGGCTTTGTTAGTAAAGGAAGCAAAGAAGCAAAACTTAACTTATAAAATTCAAGTATTACAAAAGTAACTTTTTTTATTATTACATTTTTTAACTTTTTTTTCTTATAGTCCTTTGCGATTGGTATGGAAGGAAGTCCGGATCTCGAAAAAGCGCGACAGGTGGCTAAATATATTGGAACTGAACACCATGAAGTTATTTTTACAGAGGATGATGTAGCGCAAGTTCTAGATGAAGTTATTTATACTTTAGAAACTTCAGATATAACAACAATTAGGGCATCCATAGGCATGTACTTGCTGTCTAAATATATCCTGGAGAATACCAACACAACTGTGGTTTTTAGTGGAGAAGGAGCAGATGAGGTGGCTCAAGGGTAGATATTGAATGTTTGTAATTTAAGAAGTGATATCAAACTGGACAATTTTAGGTATATTTACTTTAGGGATGCTCCAAGTGCTTCAGAGGCACACAAAGACAGTTTAAGGTTACTTAAGGAGATATATTTGTTTGATGGATTAAGAGCTGACAGAACAATGGCGGCACAAAGGTTAGGAACCTAAGAGAAAAATTATGATTTATTTAAATTTACATTTTTCTGTAGTTTGGAGCTCAGGGTACCTTTTCTTGATCTCCAGTTTACACATTACTATCTAAATATAGATCCAAAGCTAAAGCAACCCAAAGATGGCATTGAAAAATATTTACTTAGATCTGCTTTTGAAAATTCTAACATACTTCCACATGACATTCTTTGGAGACACAAGGAAGCTTTCAGGTAAAATAATAAATAGAAATAAGTAATATCTGTCTTTCTCAGCAAGATATAGAATCTTTAACTCTTAACATTCTTCGTATGGCAGACCGAAACAATTTGTTTATTGTGATATAATTAAGATAAGTTTGATTAAGATTTGTTGAAGACGTTTATTTATAAATGGTTAATTTAAAAGGATTAAAATGTTAACACTGCAAATGTGCCAAATAAAAAGAGGGAGCTTTATTTGGTAAAAGTGCTAAATAAAAAAAAATAGTTGACGGAATTCAAAAAGGGTTGATTAAGGTTTATTTTTTGTATAGATTGACCTTTAGAGTTAAGATAGAATGACAATGTAACGTCATCAAAACTGTTTGTTCCACAAGGTCATTTTTTATTATAATAATTAGAAAGAACGTATTTTTTATACCACTTTCATATAAAATATTTTCTCTATTTTTAATAACAAAACAACAAACAAATACCATATTTTGTCATGTGGACAAATACCATATTTTGTCATAAATGTTTAAAATTACTAATTCGAAAATATTACTATTTTATGGATCTTAACATATTGATTAGAGATGAGCGATGTTTTTATACCAGCGACCTATTTCTCCGGCAAGCAGCGACCAGCGACCCAGGTGAATGTAAATGAATAAATATTATTATTATTATACGGAACCCGTCCAGATGGTTGACGTTGAAAGAAAAAAATATTCTCTGTTCATATCTCACATTTAATAAAATGTATGTAACTTTCCGTAATTAATTGACATTGATGTATTAACATCAATGCCTATTATGCGAGAAACAAGAATATTTGAGCGGATCTCGTAACGGGATATAAATTTAAAATTAACCTAATACATTATAAAATAAAAGTTTTGCTTGCCGTATTGGTGAGAACCAGCCTCTGAACAGCCCACCTCATGAAGGGTAGGCCCAGAAACTGGTTGTGGGAGTAGTGGAGTTTGGTTCCCCCCTTTACGACAAGCAAAACAATTTTCTTTTTACTTTTTATATTTTTCCTCTACTTTCGATTTTTCGAAATTAGAAAAAAATACACAGCTAAAGGCAAGAGAATATTATTTATTAATATACACTAAAGCTGTAAGAATTTTGTTCATTTCATAATATTTGAGCTGGCCGAAAAACGCTCTTTATCATCTTTTCACGGGAGATGCGCTAATATCTCACCGATACTTTACGACATCGTCTATTGATATTGGAAAAACTTTGCTTGCCGTATCGGTGAGAACCAGCCCCTGGAGAGCCCACTTGATAAAGGGTAGGCCCAGAAACCGGTTGTGGGAGTGGAGCTTGGTTCCCCCCTTTACGACAAGCGAAACAATTTTCTTTTTACTTTTTATTTCTTTCCTCTGCTTTCGATTTTTCGAAATTAGAAAAAAATACACAGGTAAAGGCAAGAAAATATTATTTATTAATACATTATAGTCATATTAAATATACTTCCCAAAGGAACATAATATACATTTATTTGACTAGACTAAAAGAAATGGTATCTAAAACTTTATATCTTTGTTTTTTGGTGAAAGTAATTTAAATATTATTTTTAGACATAATATTTTGTAATTTGTAAATTTAAATAATTATAATCAATAAAGTCAGACTTTTATCACAATTATTAATTATTTTTTTATCTTTTCCATAATAATAAACATCGCAGCTATTTAGTAGATGTACAGCGGCATATCGATTGAGCATAATAAGCATCGATAATTCAGACAGCAACTGAAACAGCGACTTCAGTCGCTGGTAGTAGTAGAAAGTATCCAGCGACCACTGGCACGGTCACCGTCTCCGCCGCAAACGGAATCGGATGAAGATGAGCAGTATTTTGTATCGGTGAGTGCCGACGGTTCCGGTGACTTAAGTTGCTGCTAAAAGTAACCGTCTGGTCGCTGTCACCGGTATACCGGTGACTTAAAAGTCGCTGTTAAGTTCATCTCTAATATTGATTGAAAAATAATATATCTTAGATGTGCTAGTGACCAAACTTGCAAAGGAAAACAAAATACGTTTTACATGAAAGTTTCATGGTTTTAGAAAATTTGTTCTTTCCGATTAATGACCAAAAAAAAGGTGTTAGGTTAGGTTAGATTAGGTTGCTGGGGTTTGGGATCCCGTTTGATCTCTCACTCGGCTTGGGCCCATTGCGATACCCCTATATTATTGTACAAAACCTTCCTCTCATTATTTCTTTGCGTTAAAGCACTTCCAGCTCTTTGCAAAGTTCCGGATGTCGCTGATGTTGGCTTCTGCTGCTTCCTCTAGTCCCTCTAAAAAACCTTGCTCTAAAGTTAAGGCGTCGGTATTCCAGTGCCGGACAGTGGCACAGCAGGTTCTCTATGGTTTCTTCTTCCTTTCCCAATTCTCTGCAGTAGTCGTCGTTGGAAATCTTCCATTTCCAGTTACGACATCTACAATTATGCGTACTAGATTCTTCTTGTGCTCTAGTAGTTGTTTTGTAATTTTGCTATCTATCACTGGCCACAGTTTTTCGAGCTGTAGCGCACTTCTCACGGTGTTGCCACGCCTCTTGCTGCTTGGCCTTGATGGTTGTTCCTATAGCTTCCTTCAGTATGTTGATCGTCACAAGTGGTGGGACATCTGCCACGGCGCCTTCTCCCCTGGCCCCCCCTTTGGCGAGTTTGTCCGCTTCATGGTTGCCCACCACATTGCCCTGGCCTGGCACCCAGCACAGGGTGGCTCCGCTTTGACGAAGCCAGGAAAAAGAAAGGTGTGGTTGAGGAAAAAATAGTTTTGACAGCATTATATTCGTAAAATTGTCTGCATGTTTTCTGAACCCATAAATATAGAAAATAAACCTTTCTCTATAAAATTTCTATAAGTAATGTCTTTTTTCAAGGGTTATGACAAAAATGGTGTGGTTGCGGGGAAAAATAGTTTCGATAACCACAGACTAAAATATATCTTAATCAGTTCCTTTGGGATGCTATTGGCCAACATTGCATTTTCACTTTCCATAGTATTATTTTTCATTTCACCCTGCCATTAAAATAAATATCTAAAACGGAAATATTTTTTATATAATTTAAATTTACTGCTTTTTAATAAAGTACTCTTAGTCTTCTCAATTATTGGTAGTGATTGGTGTTTGCGCCTTTTAGAAAATAATAACAATAATAATACGCCATTGTTCAGAAAGAAAAAGACTCATTCTAGAGTGCCTGGTCACTTCCTGTTTCCCTCGGTATTTTTTACTTTATTTGATGGAAAATGACATTCTGAATAGAAATACATATTTATCATATATATGTCAAAATTTTTACATTTGCGTTTAAAAAAATAGTATTTTAAATTTGAATCTAGAGTGCCGTGGCTGTATTAAAACAACTAATTTTTAATAAAGGAACCTTGGAAAAATAGATTTGATCGTCTAATGTTTTTTATGATTTTTCGAATGGAACGAGGGTCATTAGCATATTTATAAAAATCATTTTTACGGATAATTTCGTACCCCATATTTGGTATTTCTAGTTCACTCTAGAATGAAATTGAAAATACTATTTTTTTAACCGACAATGTCAAAAGTTACCAATCTGCGACAATGTCAAAAATACCAAATCTCGTTTTTATCAGAAAAAATAGAAAAGTTATATGGTTGAACCGCTCTGGAGAAACACCCGGTATATTATGATCGCGGCACTAGAAAAATAATACCTTCTCTATAAATAAATAATATCAGAGAGAAAGTTCAATGGCAGTTTACTGTAAAATGCTTCGATAGACCACAAAATTACATTCGCAACAATATCGCAAATCGCAACTAAAAATTCAAAATCGCAGATAGAAATCACGGTCCCAGTTTACAAAATCATAATCGCAGCAAAATCGCAACAAAGTCGTCAAAAGTCAACAAAGTCGCAGTCGTAATACTGGCTGCCTAAGTTGAAACTAACTCGCAAATAGAAGAAATAGCAGTTTCTAATGAGAGCTAATCGCAGGTTGCGATTGCGAGTTTAAATCACTGCTATTGAATCGCAGTTTGCGATTTTTTGCACATCTTTACCGTGTACATTCGAAAATAATTTTAATTTGTATCTCTTATTCCTTAAAACTTTCCCATTTAACACTTTTTATATCTTATATATTTCTTATTCTTACAACAAATGAAAAAATGAATATAATTTTGTAGTTGACTCCTCCTGCACAAATCACTTTTAGGATTTTATTGGTATCTTTCAACTAAACTGGCCGTCAAATTAAATACCGCAGCGATTTTTTTACTCATTTTCAACGAGTTGTAACTTTGAAAAAAATGGACCAATTTTGTTGATTTTTGTAGCATATTAAGATCGCTTTTCGTAGGTTGATCTGATTTTTCTAAATTTTGTATGAGATTTAGTTTTCTATGATATACAGGGTGTGACAAAAAGGAATGTATTTTTTGTAATTTTTGTGTTGCTGCCATTTTGCTAAAATACAAAATTTAACTAGAATTATAAGTTCTGGGTATAGTTAAGACGTAAAACTGATTTGAAAAATAAATGATTTAACTAACGCAGGTCTCTTAAAAATACGACCAGCGAAAAAGTAAAATTATTTTTTTAATATTCTGAACTTAACAGCCCATAACGTTAATATAAAAGCTCGACACGTATTTGATATTTTTGTAAAAACTCTTTTTTTTTCTAAAAATCTGTAGTTTAGCTGCAACTTAGTAGTTTTTTTTTAATTTCACATTGTAAAAGTAACGAATATCCTACAATTTTAAAGTTAATTTCAGTTTTGTTAGCATATCTCTTAAGAAAGGTAGAAAAAATACAAGTTAGAGTAAAAATTGATTATCTTTTATTCCAGATGAGTTATCGTAAAAATTCCAAATACGTCCCGAGATATTAGTCTTAGCTATACCCAGAACTTATAATTCTAGTTAAATTTTTTTTTTGGCAAAATGGCAGCAACACAAAAATTACATTCCTTTTTTTCACACCCAGTATATCATAGAAAACTAAATCTCATACAAAATTTAGAAAAATCAGATCAATTTACGAAAATCGATCTTTAATATGCTAAAAAAATCAACAAAATTGGTCCATTTTTTTCAAAGTTACAACTCGTTGAAAATGAGTAAAAAAATCGCTGTGGTATTTAATTTGACGGGCAGTTTATATGTTACACTTAAAGGTGCGTATTCATTATCCGCACGAACGAACGAACGAACGAACGAACGAATGTTCGCTAGTGGTATGGACGGGGACCGCACGATAGAACCGCACGAGAAGACCGGAGGCATTTGTTGGCGAACGCCTTTGATGTACCGACTCGAAACGGATGGTCGAGCGAACGAACGAACGAACGGCCGCATGCGTTCGGTCCCCGTCTAAATATACCGCACTTTCATTCGTTCGTTCGTTCGTTCGTTCGTTCGGATAATGAATACGCACCTTAACATAGTATTTTTAATATATTTTAGTGATGGTGTGGCTTCAAAAAAGAAATCATTATTTGTTATACTGAAGGAAGTGGTAGAGAAGCGGTTGCCGGAACCATATGATCAGGACAATGTGACAAAGTGCTACCCTCATTGTACTCCAAATTCTAAAGAAGCGCTATATTATAGGCAAATATATGAAAAAAATTATTCGAAGTTAACAGCGAGTATACTTCCTCATTATTGGATGCCCCGATGGGTTGAAGGCGTATCCGATCCATCAGCAAGATTTATTAAGCATTATGCAGCAGATGAAGAAAAAATAAAATAAAATATTAATACATGTTATTATATCTTATGTATATAAAATAACATATTATTTTTGTTTTAATATGTTTGTCAATGTCCAGATCCAACAAGGAGAACAAAAGAAATTCACTAAGGAATGTTGAATATACAAGGTGAGTCTTAAATATTTGCAAATATTTTCAGGGCTGGTAGATCTCGATAAAAGAAAGATTTTTTCTCTTCAGCGTTTTTCAAATAAGTCCAAAGTAACCAAGTTATTTAAAAATTTTTTTTTTGCTTAAATTTTGAGAACCACTGGATCTTTTCTGGGGTTTCTTTCTTGTAAATTTAATCTATTACCTATGTTGCCATATTTTCAAGAAATTATGGTTTTAACTAAACTAAAAAAATTCAAATTTAAAAAAAAATTCTCCAAAAAACTTTACATACGAGAGTTTCTTAGGTTGAAGTATTTTACTCCTAAAAATATTTGCATTTATTTAAGACTCACCCTGTAGTAGGGTTTTTACTTTTAAAACTTGGTGCAGTTCAGCGTAGCTGGTTACAGTCGAACAATAGTCGAACTTACAGTATGTCCTCGGATTACAAGAGAAAACAATTTTTATTTTAACTTTTTGAGAAAAATATATTTTTTCTACAAACGTCAGTAAAAATGTAATTTTTAACGCATGCTGTCTGCCTAAAATGTGACATTATGTCACTGATGGTAAAAAGTAAGTCACGTGATTTACTTCGAAAGGATGGGACACTCCGCCTTCTCACAAAATAAAATACCACTTTTAGCACTTATATCATAAATAACTATTTCGAGGTATTTTTATAAAAAATTTTGCTTGTTCTAAAATAGTTAATCCCGTTTATACTTTTCCAAAACATGTATATACATAAAACTTTTAGAAAAAAATAACTTTTTAGAGAGAAATACAAAAACATGAAAATATAGTCGATTTTTTTAAAAGTGCCAGAAATCTAAACGCGTTATGGTAATTTAATTTTTTTTTATTCTTTGATCTATTTTTTTTGTTAGTATTAATTTTCATTCACGTCATTATTGGTTTTTACTATGTTAATTAAAGAAGCATAAAATTTATAATTCCCCTTTCCTTAGCATTGAACTAAATAAATGTGCTTTTTTAATATATTAAAACAGCAAAAAATATGACGTTAATCAAAATTAATAATAATCATCTATCAACGACTGAAACTTGACTGAAAAATGATATTACCATAGGGACGTGTTTTGATTTTTAGGAAGAATTTAACTGTATTTTCATATTTCTAAAATTTTTCTCTATGACGATATAGAAATTTGGAAAAGTATAGTAAACGTAAACACTTATGAAGAATAAGTACATTTTTCTCAAAAAGTTAATAATAAAATGTGTTTCCTGTAAAGACGATCTGGGGACATACTGCATATAAAATAATATAATTACTAGGACTATACTATAACGGATTTAAGCTATAGCTGGCAACATGTTTTAACAAGTAAGAAAGATAAAAATAAATAATGTATCTACATTAAAGAATAAACAGCATAGTAACTCCGAAAAAACGAGCTTAATATGGAATTAACAGATGCAAAATTTACAAATTAAATTACTGAGTGATTCTATATCCGCTCGATATATACAGGGTGCTACAAATTCGAGGTACGAGCATGGTATCTCGGTAAACCTAATAGATACGAACACGCTTAAATTGGGGCAAAGTTGCGCTTTAGGATGTTCACCAAGATGCCATCAAATTTTTTTTTAAATTTCAAGGATTGCTGAGTTTTTTTGGAAAAACGTATTTTTTTGAAAATCATTTTTATTTTTTCCTGGCATTACTTTTTAGGAAATTAAAAAAACAAATTGCACATTCTCATTGTCATTTTATTGGGGCTATCTGAAAGTATTTTTAGATTTTCAAATTAGCTGATAATTTGTGAGATACAGTGGCCAACTTAATTTTTTTAAATACGGACCTGCATTTTTTATTTCAGATTTTGAGATAACTCGGTCTCCTGAGTACAATGATATGCCACACTTAATATGTTTTTTTTGTTTCGGACATTTGAACATAATTTATTTAAACTAATTTCAAGTCCGGCTCTGTTTTTTTTAAGATATAATCTATTCATCTTTACAATATTGATAAGCTTTCAAACTTAACAATGACGTGGGCTAAAACATTGACTACGGAAAATCAAATGCAATAACTAAAGGGGCCTTACTTGGCGTCATTTGTAAAAGTGAAATCAATACATTTCAACATTACATTACAATAAAGAGTACAAAATGCATTCGGAACTATAACAAGAAGTTATGTTTAAAGAGCTATAAATAAGATTGAACAAAAAATAAATTTTTGCATTAGGAAGAAAGGTGGTAACCCTTTCGAACATGTAGACCATTATAAACTAGTTTATAGAAGTTGATTTATTTATAACAACTACGATTAATATTATGAATATTATTAGATCGTACACTAAGATTCCTAATTCACAATAAAAAAAGTTAAAAAGAATATCTTTAAATTGCTGACCTGGATATTATTTATTTGAATCTTTGAATTGGCTCGATTTTCCTTACTCAATGTTAATTAGCGCTGATCAATATTGTTGCGATGAATATAATCAGATTAAATAATTTAAAAAACCAGAGTCGTACTTTTAAATTCGAATTAACTAGTTTTGTTGTTAAGGTACCCAAAACAAAAAAAAGTATAAAGTGTGGCATTTCATTATACTCAGGAGACACAGTTCTTTCAAAACCTGAAATAAAAAATGCAGGTCCGTATTTAAAAAAATTAAGTTGGCCTCTGTATCTTACAAATTATCAGCTAATTTGAAAATCTAAAAGTACTATTAGATAGCTCTAATAAAGTGGCTATGAGAATGTGTAATTAGTTTTTTGATTTTCTAAAAAGTAACTACAGGAAAAAATAAAATTGATTTTCCAAAAAACTCAGCAATCCTTGAAATGTTTATAACTTTTTTGATGGCATATCTTAGTGAACATCTCAAGGCGCAACTTTGCCACAATTTAACTATCTTCGTATCTATTACGGTTACCGAGATACCAATGCTCGTACCTCGAATGTGTAGCACCCTGTATTATGCTTTATAACTAACTTGTTCTCGGATTGTTGACCGTTGTCTTTATTTATTTTGATTAACACAACATTTCGGTCAGAAGGATCACTGATTGTCATCTATCTACTATGTATGTAACGCAGATAGATGTAATCATCTATCTACAGCCAGGCGTTCCGTGAAGTTGGGTGTAGTCAACCGTGAAGTTGTCTACTTAGAATGCCTGCATTGGTGCATTTTATCAGTTGCCATATCGTAGATATTTCCGTCCTAGGATTGCTAGAGATGTTATTATTGTTTGCTATAAACACGGCTTCTTTAAATTTACGCTTTTTCCAATGAGGTTCCCTGTGGACAACCCGAGCTTCCGACCACTTTATATTGTGCTGTTTTGACCAAACATAGTCCGCAATACCCGACTTTATTGGTTTACCTTTTTGTACATGTTTTTTGTGCTCGCTAAGTAGTACATTTAGAGGATGTTTAGTTTCCAATATACGATTCACCGCATTCACAAAGTACCGTATGATCGAAAAAAAAAACGGCGTCAGCGATGGCTATGAAATGAAGATCGCTGTCATTTTATATGTAAATTTATACGGGAAATGTCATCGATTGTCATTTCCCAGCCAACTGGACGCCGTTTTTTTCGTTCATAAGGTACTTGGTAAATGCACTCTTTCTCTTGTTTCAATGATTCCGGCAGTGCTTTTGTTAGGACGCTTCTTAGAGTCGATCCAGATTTGAAGACAGTTTTAATGTTATACTTTTTGGCTATCCGCCTGATCTTTTCTGAGCAGTGTTGCCAACTTTCTGAAATAGAATTTCTCACGAAGACTGTGAAAATTTCCCGTTTTTTCTAAAAATTCTTACGAGTTCTCAAATCCAATATATGCGTCGTCAACACAATACAGATATTATGTTTTTAGAAAACAAATTTTGAAATATGCTTTTCAATTTTTTTTGCGCCAAAAAATCATAGGTGTCGGTGATGCTTTTGTTAGTGCACTTTACCACTACTTGCAGAAGTGGAAAAGTGCAGGACTTAAAGAGCTTTATGTTGCCTTTGGAGTAGGAAAAACGTTGCGGTATATTCCACTTCACTCGTTTGATGGCAGATTACCACTTAATGTTTTAACATCTTTACCTGCTATTCATTCTTTAACCGGTTGCGATCTTTTTAGTAACCATTCCTTACACCACCACCTTCGATTACAATATCGTTTCTTGCGTTTTTCAATTATTTGCACTGCACATACTGCAGCTGTTGCTAACAAAATATCTTCTTTGCTTTCCGACATTTTTGCTTGAACAACGCTTTTAAACTAAAGGTTTGATCGTGAGTGAGGGTTGTCAATTTGCTGCAAAATTGTTCAATTTTATTGTACGATTCTGTTGTACGGCGCCTAGTGGCCCGCTTTAGTTTGGTTAGGTTAGGAACTACCTAACCGAACAACAAACAACAGATGTTTATTAAAATTATAAGTGTCTCAGTGTTTTTGTTTAATAGCAACTGACGATTGTATTGATGCAAATTGATTAGTTAGTAATGCAGTCACTAAGAATCTTACGTTAGTCATAAGCTTAACTATTTAATTTTCGTTAATCCAATCTGTTTTTGAGCTCTGATCGGGAGCGGCTCATCGGCCCATCATCCCACCGGCCCACCGGGAATTTTCCAATTTTCCCATATGGCCCATCTACCCCTGACCGCTTCAATATACGCACCTGCGTAAAAATGCATGTATTGCATTTCATTGCTTCGCTAGCAGGTTTTCTCTTCCATTGTTTATCGCAACCCCAACTAGACACTGCCTATGCACTATCATATTAGAACTTATGATACTGCGCAAGGTACTTATGGTACTGCGTTGAACCAGAATGAATATAGACAGATGTAATGAATGTCAATTACAGTTTTAAAATTTATTTATAAGTTTTTAATATAACTTTTTTATAAGTTTCTTGATATATTCCATAATAATGATAAACTAATACTTTTATTACATAATATTGGTGTCGAATATTAAAACACACCATATGTTTTCAATGCGTCTACACACATTGCAACCCCTCCTAAAATAGCCATAATACCCGAAACCAACCATACAACGTCTCCATCGTCGATTCCAACTAGAACCGCAACAGCTATGCCAGCTAAAATAATAATAAATCTTATAAATGAAAAATATCAATGTGTCACCATTATATCTTACAGCTTATTAACAGTAATGCACCGACAATTAAAAATACTCCAGCTAAACCTTGTTCTAATTCTTGATTTTTAACAAGCAATAATCCAAGCATTATTAATGTTATAATTATATAAATACTTGCTGATATATTCATGGCGTCGGTAGCGTCAAGTGCACTGTACGAATATGTGACCCCCGAAGTCATAAATAAAGCAAGAGCGACAATAACTAAAATCTGTTTAACTGTTATTTTTATAATTATTATCCTAATTAGCGTTATTTTTGTTAAATGGGTACACTTACCAGGACAACAAGTCTCAGAATAAGTTCCAAATTAATATTTAAACCCGTTCCTTTTCCCATTATTAGAGAGCGGTAAGTCCAAACTAAATGTTACTACCTATACGATTTTTTATTATCTGATACTGACACTAGTTTCTTTGACACTCCGTGATATATTTTTTTGAAACGTCACAAAAGTATTCATTTTTGTGATGGAACTAAGTTTAGATTGGAAAGTGCCCATAAGGACAATGTAAACACTATTTGGCGCTATTCTTTGGCGCTATTCTTGCAACGGTCGCGACCCAAAACTTTTGAAAATTTCAGAGCGGTTCGGCTTTTTCCCGAATTATATCGCCAAATATTGTTTATTCAAATTTATTATTATTTTCGTTTAATTTTATAAATAAAATACAGTGTGTTGCGTACAAGAAACTTTATTTTATATAAGGACGCATGTATGAAATACCTATGAAACATTGGAAACCGACGTTATGCCACGATCCACGATGGTTTTTGCAGTTCACAGTTCACAGCACAACTTTTTAAGTTTTTAATGCCACTTTTTCACAATTATCACCGGTTGGAGTAAATAAAACTTGAATTAAACTCACAAGATAGAAATTATTACTTTGAAAATGGACGCTATAAACACTTTTCGGAATTTCTTTAATGAGAGCGGTTTGGATTTTGAAAGATTATTATGATTTTTGAAGATTCTGACTTTGACAAGAGAAAATTATTTCTGTTTTTGTTTGCCGTTGTTCTTAGCAACCGCTATAGCAGCGCCAGATCGCGTATAACGGTCGCGACCCAAAATAATTTCGCGACCTAAAATTTTTACGGGCTTTCCAATCTAAACTTGTTGCATTTATCTATGACCATGTATATCTGTCTGTAACTATGGTAAATATAAAACTAATTTAATTTGTGCTTACCTTTCAAATGAATATACATTATTGACATAAGAATGACATAGGAGACAGAGTGCCATAAATTTCATACTGTTGTAAAGTTAAACGAAAACTTTTAAAATGGGTTTTGGAAAAGGCGTAAGAATTGATATAAGCCTAATTATGAAAATTATTGCATTAGTAAGGTTTTGGCATTTATAAAATCTTAAAACAAAATATGATTATTTCTAATCATTCTAATAGGTTTGTTGTGCATGTGCTTTAGGATTAAGTTTGAATGGCACGGGTGCTAATGGAAGAGTTTGGGCCACGTTTAATTGTTTTAAATTTGCTACTGGCGGCTATATGATAGTTTTAGCCATATTTATAGGTTGGGCTATAGTCAAATATGATGTGGATAAACTATTTGCGGGTTGCATTTTGGCATTCGGTTTCATTTACAATGTAGGAGGTAAGTAAAATTTTATTAAAGTGTTGTTAAAGAATTTTTGTACCATTTATTTTTATTTTTTTAGCTGGTGCAGCTCTTATTAGTTATTATGTTGATTATAAAGATGATATTCTGACTTGTGTGGGAGGAGCATTGGATTTAGCGGCTGGTATAGTTATGCTTGTAGATACCCTGCATTGTTTTGGACTATTTTAAGTATGTAATGTAACTATCACTGAAAGATCAGCTATGTATATAATCTATATATGTATTTGCCAATGTATTATCAGGGTTATTTATAATAAAGTTCTAAAGTTCTCACAACGTATTATACATTGATGATTAATTTAAATGACCACAAAAATTATTTACTTTTTATCTGGAAATATTTTTTTCCTTTATGTAGGTATTAGAAATATTTTTGACTTTGAAAGAATTACTACCGTATGATCGAATAAAAACGGCGTCAGCGATGGCTATGAAATGAAGATCACTGTCATTTTATATGGAAAAATATATGGGAAATGTCATCGATCGTCATTTCTAAGCCAACTGGACGCCGTTTTCTTACAATCATCCGTTACTATAATCCGGTATTTATATTGAAAGAACAAAAGATACCATTTCATAATATAATGATACAAAAACTAAATGTTACGAGAAAAAATCGAAAAAAAAAAATTATTAAATACACGAAGAAATAGGTTCAGGAGGTACCCTATTATTATACAGGGTACACATACAAAACAGCTGCATACAAAATATAGCACATACAAAACATGTGCTATCTCTCGTGGGGAGACTCCTCACGTAAAAATAAGATTTGTTTTTCATATCAACATAAGGCCGATTCTGCTTTGCTTCGTAGCTACAGGGTGTTAAAGTCTTATTATTTTTTCGATTTATTATAATTTTCTTCCAAGTACCTTTAGCGTCTTGAATAAAATTTTGAGGACAAAAGTTACTATAAATGCGACATATTTTAAAGCTAAAAAAGTGTCGACATATTCACCAGGGACGTGCATATGGGTATTCATTAGAATATTTTTCTAAAAAAAGCATGTACGCCACAGACTTTTTTTCTCTTGTTAGCGAAATAGTGAAAGCTGTAAGCAGTTTAATGCCGATTAAAAGTTGTCTCTTGATATTTTGTCGATTTTGTCCTCTTTGATGACATAAACGTAATTTTATTAATTTGCCTTGATCCAAGTATAATAACAACCTTTAAAAAAATATAATATCATTAACTTGCGAAAGTTTTAAATAACTACTCATTGATTCCTCATCAAAAAAATGAAAAAAAGTTCCTATAAGCATGGGTATGGAAATGCATAGTTTTAGAGTTACAGGATGTTAAAAATTTTTAAAGTTAGGCTTTTTGAAATTCTCTTAATTACCATTATTTTTTATTTGAAATTGCTGTAGGTTGGACTAATAGTAATAATAACTAATGGTAATAGTATTTAATAATAAATTAAGTAAAATATACAGTTTATTAATTTTATTTTTATTTTAATTTTTTAATTGTGGTAAAGTGGCTAGAGAATGTGCAATTAGTATTTTTTTGACAGGAAAAAATAATATAATAATAAAATCTATTATGCTCTAATAATCAAGTTGACGGAAATATGGAATTTTAGGTTAGTATCACCAAATTCTATTTAACAATAAGCTTCACAAAAAACTTAATAAATTTTAAATTAATTAACCTTCGTATTTATTTGTGGTTATCTTTGATTTTGGCCCTCTATGAACAAACGAGGCCTTTTGTATAAAGGTAAATTATGTGCAATTAATTGATATTGATTCAAAAAATACGTAGTTGTTCTATATCCATGGAATATTGAAACTCTCTCTATATTTTGTAGGTCTGCTTTGAAAAATAAATTCTCCAAACAATTCTTTCTCAAAAACTATGCGATGTGGCGTTTTTTACAAGAGACAAAAAATGTAGTAAATACAAGAAGGGCCATTTTACGAAGAAAAATCGGTCATCGGTGGAGTTGGAAAATATTTATACGAAAATTTATGTACGGGTGGGGGTAGTTTTCACCCTTCCCGTACTTTTTCTTGATTTTTTTGAACACCAAATGTTAAAGCACTTAGCAAAAAATAGTCAGCCAAAATGTCAGAAATGACTCAAAAAAAGAAAAAACTTGTAAAAATCATCAAATTTTGACATGTCTCTTAAGCGAGTAATAGAGCGAGTTAAGGACAAAACTTTAACTTGAGCTTAATTTGCTGTAAAACCAGTGGCGGCTCGTGGGTATAAAATTAGGTTAGTTTTTTAAATTGCGCCACAGGCAAAATTTTTTTTGGCGCATTCACCATTTTGTCAACTTTCTTTAAAATATTATTTGAAAAATTTTTGCTGCATTCACCATTTTGTCAACATTTTTTTTGTTATTATTTATACACTAATACCTATAATATTTTTGTTTTAGTTTGGGCTAAAACGCATTAAGTAAAAAGACAGTTTTCGATAAACACATTATTTTGCATTCCAGTGAAAATATAACTAAATATAATAAACATTATATACAGTGTCCACCATAAAGTTGGATCCATATGGACGTTTTTTTTTATATTAGAATTTTAAAAAATCTTTTTGTGGCAATCACTTCTGCTTTGAAAACAACTTAAAATGCACCAAGTCAAAATTGACAGCTAACATCTGGGAGCAGTCAAATACAAAATATTTAAAAGAAATTTTTAAAAATTGGTTAAATTATTATTATTTTAAAAAAGGTGTCTAACAAAATTATGTTTCAACTTTGACTTGGTGCATTTTAAGTTGTTTTTAAAGCAGAATTGATTGCCACAAAAATTTTTTTAAAGTCTAATACCAAAAAAAAACCGTCCATATGGATCCAACTTTATGGCGAACACTGTAATAATTATTGAATGGCTTCCCCGAAAAACGTTGTAACCGACATTTTTTTCAAAATAAAGATTTCAGTGAAATAAGGTTGTAATTTTCATAGGTATAACGTTTATTCCTCGGTTTTTTCACTGAAATTTCGATATTGAAAAAATTGTTGGTTACAACCGAGGAGCCATTCAATTATTATTCAATTATTACATTAATATTTACTAAGCAATATTAATCAAAATAAATTTGACTTATTTATGTTACTAACCTTACTAATTTTTGTAAATCAGCTCAATTTTTCTGTTCTTTATGATTCATTTAATTAATTAATTATATTCACATTAAAGTCTATTTAAACGAACATTTTCATTAAAATTAAGCTTATAGAGTCTAGCGTTTTTTCTAAAGCATCGGCTTTTGTATTTTGATTTTTTTTAATTTCTTAGCATTAACTGACATTTTAATGTTCTGCAGAATCCTCGTGTTTATGCAAAGATCCTGTTATATTTACGAAATCAGTGAACCCTTCTTTATTCCAAATGCCATGTTTATTAGAAAATAGTAAACACGACCAACAAAATAATTTTTGTAAAACAATCCTACTAGATAGCCAATTAAAATCAGAAAACCAGGAAGAATTAAATTTAATATTATAAGATTTACCACTTTTTCTTATTTCTTTTTTGCAATTTATGGTTAAAGTTTCAGTTGGTCGCCCTTGAGATAAAACATCCCTCTTATCTTCATCTGTCCACCGTTTGAAGGGAGATTCCAATAAATTGCACACCAAGTCATTAATTGGGTTCATTTTTTAACACATACACACACACACAAAACAGTTTTAAAACACAACAACAAAACAAACACCAAAAACTAACAAGTTAAATCAACAAAAACCATTAACAAACAACAATAAATAATCAACAACAACTTTACAGTCTTTACACGGTTAATTACTCGCCGAAGTAGCCGAATATTAGTATAAATGCAAAAATGCATAAATTATGCGCCGACGCCGAACGCCGCCCGCCGCCGCCGTTACGCATATCCTGAACAATTAAGTTGAAGGAAGACGAAGAGAACTGCCCAAAAACTCATTCACATCGGGCACCGATAATAAATTTCGGGGCGGGGGGATTTACATCTGCCGCTAGGCTGACGTCACGTTACCATGGAAACCGTGCAGCCGCTTGGCTCAGAAATACAAACATTTTCACCTGTGCTTTCACTTGCACTTCTGGCTTGTATGGGCGTGCGGGCCTATAATGCTACTTTTTCGGCCTGAATTAACGATGCGGTAGACCTATTATGCAGAGGTCCGCCAGGAAAAAAATAAATAACTTATCAAAAATTACCATTTTATCATTTAGATACATGTAAATATATTAAACTAAATTAATATTTTAAGCAGTAAGGTTTAATTAATTTGAGTATTTTTTTCGGTGCAGTGCCCATTCACCTACTGCACCTGACGAGCCGCCACTGTGTAAAACGATAATGTAAATTCATTTAAAATGCCGTTTTCTTGGTATTAGTTAGGCTAAGGTTTGAGTCGCCATATATACTGATACCTTCTTATTAGATAAATGGAAAATAGAATCTGGTGCGTGAATGAAATAGATGAAGCCGAATGAGTGAAACATTAAACGTAGAACCAGTACGCGAGTGTCGTAAAAGCGAAACTTTTTAATCTTTTTGGCGAACGCGCCACGCCGGCCTAGGTCTATAAACCCGAAAATAAAGGCCCATAAACCTAGAAATTAACCGGGTCGGCCCTTATTTAGGAGCGGCCCGATACGTATTTTCTCGAAGTGGCAGCAGACCGTGCAGCTAAATTGGTTTGTGCGTTTTTACGGCTTCTGTTTTAGTGCTAGATCCGCGCGCGCCTCTCATTTACCGACTGCAAAGATCGTAAATTGTTGAATTTCTGACGAAAGCAACTTTACGCAGTCCATTGCAAAAAAATGTTCAGGGTGTCCCATTTTTAGTTGAAATCATACGGTATCTCCGTTATTAGTGAAGATAGAAGCCTTGTTTATATATTAACTAGTTATTCAGCGTGAGTTTTAGTTCTGGGAGTTCACTGATAGATGGCTACGAGAATTGGGGGTCAACTTATTAGGTATATAATTCTTATTAGTTTACCGTTCTTGCGATTGTCCCACTTAATTAAAAATTAAAATTTTTGAAAGACCAGCGACGCAATTCTCGTAGCCATACTCGTATATCAGTGAATTCCCAGAACTAAAACTTATGCTGAATAACTAGTTAATATATAAAGTAGGATAGAAGGGTGCGGTTTGCACCAACCTGTCCCATTTTTTTGTCAAACCGAAGATGCTCTAAACAACATTTTCATAGCCCTCTTAGTTTGTGAGCTACAGGATTTTTTTGAAACAATTGCAATTTGGGACATCCCCGTATCTCTGTTATTGTGAAAGGT